AGTCTGCATCTTTACTCGCTCCCCTCCCTGCTAACGGAGGTGGGCAAGCTTCCCAGTGCTGGTGCATCTAGCAGGTGCAGCCTCTTTCTCTCCTCCCACCCTTGCTCTCTGCCTCTCTCTGTCTGTCTCTCCCTCTCCCTCTCTCTCTTCTCTCGCTCAACCAGTGTGCACTCTGCTCTGTCTGTGCCTGCATTTTTTCTCCCTTCTCTTTCGTTCTTGGTCTCTCAGTGGCGGCAGCTCAGGGAAGCAGCTGCATGTTTGTCTGCATCCCAATTGCCACAGGTAAAGACAGCTGTATTATCTGATGTTGCTAACCCCGAGGGGGGTTGGGGAGCCTTTGCTGCTGCGGCTGCAAGTTCTCATCCCAGCGCAGGGCGCACATTTCTAATCATCTTGAAGAACGCATCCTAGAGAGAACGACGAGCAGAGGACCCCAGCAAACAGACCAACAAATCACACGCTGACTGGAAAGAGCACAGGCTTCCAGGGACGGAGGAAAATATAACACTTCTCAGAAAAAGAATCAGTGGGATATATTTTCAACATTGTGGTGTCCTGTTTATGATTTTCCTCTTTCCTCGTGTTTTCTATTCTTTTGCTTTCAATTCTTTTTGTCTTTTCCATGCTTCTCATCCTCTTCCTCTCACAATTTATTCCTCTGTGCCGGAATGCTCCCTGCAAATAGATGAGAAGAGGCTTTCTGTGCGCTTGCTGCAGTATTAACAAACAGTACACTGAGTCAGTAGAGAGCTGAGCGGACAGCTTGGAGGAATCTGATCCACAGCCGGCTGGAGAAGGAGCAGGATCACGCGTCGCAGTTGCAGATTTATCCGCCCTGTGATACTGTGCAACAACACCCCTCATTCTTTTCCCCCCACCATCCATCTCTCTGTCCTCATCTTGAGTGTTATTTTTTGACTGGATCAAGAAAATTAATTGGATTCTACTGCTTTATTTTTAGCCTTATTGGAATATTGTAAATATAAAAAGGAGCAAAGGGGGTTTGGATTTTTTAGGTGAAACGGAGGAGGCTGCTTGAAAAGCAATGGGAGAGAAAGATTAGCAGATTATCATAGGAGAGTGTTGAAAAGACGCATAAGCGATACACGTCTTAGTGAGCACTCTTTTTTAGTTATGAAAGAGACCGATTTTGGGAAGTGAAGGACGCTGACTCGGCTAAAGCAGTCGGAACAGACTGCATCAGGAAACATTTTTTTTCTTTTTTTTGGTCCTGCCCAGGGTGGGGAAGCAACTAGACCCACCCTGCAAGTTTAACTCTCTGATTCGATATTACTGTCCCGTCGTGGATTCTACATGGAGGGGACACATTCGGCATGTTAAGGAAAAGTGTTTTGGATTCTTTTTCTCCTTTTTTGCTGCAATGGCATCCAAATACTGATGCCATGGATTTCCTACACGTACAGATGTAAATCTGTTTCTTCCCATCCATCTCTCCCTTCCATCTCTCCTTGTTACTCCCTATTAGAGGCATCACTTCCATTTTTCCTCTTGTTAACCCTGCTGTGAAGACTATTGGAGTTCACTGTTGCTTCAGCTGGACATTGAGAGTTGAGCAGGACTAAACACGGACTAAACACTTATACGTCTATGCCAGCTCTTCAATTTTTCTCTGGGTGTCTCTGCGTGTGAGTGTGTGTGCTTGAGCGTTTGTGATTGTATGTATGCATGTACCTCCTGCACCCTTTTTCCTCTCTGTCCATCCTTGGAATACATATTTTTGTGTGTGCGTTATTGAGAGACAGATTCTGTGGGGTCCATTCCTTCAAATTTCCATTCGTTTTTTTCTTCTGGCCTTGTTGGAAACCTTTCTGCCATGTGCAAACGATGCCTATCACAGAGTTAACCCTTAATGAGCCATAAAGGACGACAGGGAATGATGAGTGAGTGTTCTGGGGCAGCTGCATCTGGGGCAGTAATCCTGGAAGAACCTGAAGGTTCGGGGGCTTCTGCGGGCCAGGGGGAGGGCCAGGCCCAGGAACAGGGTCCCCTTCGCTGTGCAGTTTGGCCTCGTCAGCAGACATGGCTGTGTGTGGTTCCATTACTTATTGGTTTTATTGGCCTTGGATTGAGCCTGATGCTGCTGAAATGGATTGTTGTTGGTACAGTGAGGGATTACGTCCCAACAGATCTAGTGGATGCAAATCGAATAGGACAAGATCCCATCTTCCTCTCCAAGCCAAGTGGGATTCCCAAGAGCCCCGATACTACCACTACTACAACTACTCCTACAATCGATAGCAGGAACCCCACTGCTAGAACTGCTACTGTGGCAAAAGGTAGAACTCGCACTACTGCTACCACCACAACTATAAATGCTAGAGGGGGCGGGGCGTCAGGCAGTCAGGTAACTCCTCGGAATCCTGGAAGTCGTAATGGACGTGGACCTTCAGGTTTTACCACAACTACTGCAGCACCACGTACAACTTTCATAATTGGAGCTGCAACATCTAGCTCCTCACCGCCCAATCCGACGGTTCTTCATGACTCTACACAGATGTGGACGGCAGAACATACTACTACAGAGACGATCTCCACCACACTCACTACACGTACGCACAGTCACCGCAAAACCCGTAAGTCTTTCATATACTACTGACTTGTGTTGTGTTTCAAAAGCTCCACTGATTGGTTAATCATCACTAAATATGACATCTGAACTTCTTTTTTTTTTAAACGTGATCTTATGGTTTCTTCCAAAACTTTTTTTTTTGCAATTTACGTGCATGACCTTCCTGTTTGGGAAATAATGTTCTTGATTGGTTTTATAGTCAAAACATTGAAGATGAGTGATCAATAGTATTGATTGGCATAGCGAAGGTTTCTAAGTAGTAGTCAGTAATCAAGTTTAGGTATCATTTTGAGTATATATAGGTTTGGAGGGTTTTTTGTGTTTCTCTAATAATCAAATGATCTTAAAATTCTTTTGCAAACAAACCACATGAAAAGATCTTCTGCAGCATCCTGAGTAACTTGAATAGAAATTTATTCTGATGCATTAGATGGTGAATCTTTCCCTTCTGTTTTTACCTCTGTCGTGCAACTGCTCATACTATTGATTTGTGCTACGGGGAATTTTCTTGCAGCAATCAATGAAGCACACACCCGCACGCAGAGACACACGCACACACACACACACACACACACACACACACACACGTCTTCCTCCATGACAAATTTCTCAGCTCCCAAAATGGTGTCACATTGTGTGCTGAACCTTCATCTGCTTGTTATGTCCCTGTTTCTGATCTGGGCTTTGGACTACGCTCACAGCTTCACAGTCACAGGAGTTGCTTTATTTTTAACAGTGTGATCTCATGCACTGAATGTATCAAGTCTCTCGCATCTGTGCAGAGGGGTACAAAGCCTCACAAAGAAAAAACTCAAACCTAGCATGTGTTTCGTGATTTTTAGCTGATGTGGGTTCCTATATTTCATATGCTGTTTATTCCTTCCTGCAGTTTAACACTGTAGTTAACTTTCAGTTGACATAATATCAGTTAATGAGTTAATGCCAACGCCATGATCAATTACTTGTGAACTAATAGATGAGAGTGCATGTCATATATCGTTTATCATAGTATACATCATCAAGTATTTTGGAATGTATGATGCACACAATGCCCCCTATTATATTATGATAATTACATGTTGACAGTCATTTTTTAAGTATCTGATAAACAAAATCACTCCATTCCACCTTGTGTCTTGACTGCAAAGGTGCAGCTGCTTCTTTTGTATCCATGATAATGAAAATGTCCCCAGATTACATGAGAGACCGGGGAATGTTCCCTCTGATAATTAGAAACATAGAGGAAAAATTGTGTATCATTTCATTACCAGGAAGAAAAATGGGAGCCATTCATCATCATCAGTTCATTTATTAATTAACCATTAAAAAGGAATGCCATTTCTCCACCAAGTGAAAACCATTAAGCTTCGGTGATAGATATCCCAGGGGAAATGTCATTCCTTCACCAGCTCGCCCAAGAAAGTTCTGGCGTTGCACAATTGCCAACTTGTTCGATAATCCTAAACACCCTCCACCCTCCCACCTCTTTTATTCTACCACCCACATGCTGCTTTGATTTGAAAAGGCCATCATTTTTACATTAACTATCCATTATGTGTAAATGCGTTATATAATATGACTGAATTGGCTGTGTTGGCTTGTGCTCAGAGACTGGAGAATTAAAGTATAGCGGGCCATCTGTGTGTTCTTATCAATGCTCTCCCTTCCTTTGTAGGTCACAAAATTAAGAGTGACACAGATTTGTATCTCACACTGGGCTGTAGTCCTGTAACTGATCTGTTAAGTGAGCAAAATAGTATGTTGCCGTGCACACGCTCTCAATGTAAACTTAAGATCCCAGATGTAAAAGTAGAGCATACCTAAAATATTGGCTAATTTTTTGTTATTTTATTTTCATGACTAAAAGCATTTTTTATAATAAAAAATTATTTACTAGGTTTCAAATATGTATGTTATGTAAACACATGTTAATGTAACACAGAAAACACAGAAATCTATATAAATAATTTCTTTTCTTAAAAAACGCTCGCCAAGCACAAAGCTCCTAGGAAAATAAAAAATAGGCAGTTATAAGCCTTTTTAGAGGGGGTCTAAAGTAATTCTCAAGTAATTCTCAAGTAATACTTAAGTATTTCAGCTATTCGTGGGCGGTTGGGTCCTTAACCACCGCGAATACCGGGGGTTAACTGTACTTTCATCCGCAGAACTCCTGATGCTTTTTAGCTTTAAGGGATATTTGGTGACATTCTAGCTTGTCAGTCAAAAATTCAGGGTCTGGCAACTACAGGAAGATATTATAGTTAGCAAGTGTCACTTTGCAAGAGTGACTGACATATCTAAATCTGTCGCAAAATCTTAAGTTATCCCTATGCTTTAAGCTGTAGAAAAAAAGAGACCTAGGATAAAAGATATCATTAAAAGGAGCCGAGTGACCTCTGTGATACAGGGCAAAATGTCACTAATCCCAGTGGGATAAAATGAACTGAAAACTGGATATGTGTTAATTTAACTAACTGTAACTAGTGCTTCAGATATAATGAACTAGAAATCAAAACATATACAAAATAAAAATAACACGTATTAGTAAAGAGTAGCAGATGAGACTATGTAGTCATGAGTAAATCCATGAAAATGTTGATTCAGTGGTGAGAATAGACCAGGACTTTGTGTTTTTGTGTATGTGTGTGAGAGACATGCTACAAACACAAATGAGAGAGAGCGATAATGATACATTCAGTAGATTCTGATTTTTGATTGTTCTTTACGAAATCATTTTCAGTGTTAAGCTTCAGAAGATGTCGTAGTGCAGTCTGAGGTCTTTGTCTCCATGAGCCACTCAGTGGGATTAGGTAACAGTCAAACACTGGCCCTGAAACCTAAATCCAGATTAACAGCCCATCACCATGACCATGGAAGCAACAGAATTACATCAGCCCACCTATCAGTCACATGCATTCTACACAGACTTACAAGCAGCAGCCTAACTCCTGCAGGATTGTTTTGATATATGATCTGTGGCGGGATGTTTTTCATTAAATGATGCTGAGGTGACATGTTTAAGGCAGCGTTTTGTCTTAGCCATGTTTTAGGATCCCTCAGGGGTACTGTGAAGCAGTCTGGGGAAGTAGTTTATGCTTATGTTAACAACACAGATATGACAATTACACAGAGTGAAGTTGTGTTTATAGCTTCATTCTGTGGCAACAGTATGATGTAGGGAAGTTGTATCTGTTTGTAGTGTTTATGACAAACATATATATTTTAAATATGCACATTTTACAGAAAATAAATCGACTTATTTCTTTGTGCAGATTCTATTATTTCATCTGGCCAGAGCTTTTTATGAGGACCTGTTTATGGTTAGCATATAAAATAAAATGATAGTTTCTGGGCTGAGCTCTGGTTAAGAGAGATGCTTTTTGTCCCCTGTGTGATAAAGTGAAACATAGTTGTTTTTTCGTCCAAGTTGTCTGATAAGGCTCTTGAGGTTTAACCCTTTACAGCCGATCGGAGCGGGCACGCTCCATTTTGCATAACTATTTTAAAATCCCGGTAGCTCTGCAACCACGTAAGCTAGCGCAATAATTTTTTTTGCATATGAAACCGGAGGAGTTGTACTTACATCTGATGCCATCAGCTTGTCCTAGGTCACAGTTTCCTTCCACATAAAGCTTTGCAAAAACTGCATAAAAATCACTTGCAGCAACAAAAACATGATATTCCAGAAACACGCTTCGCCGATCCGATCAGCTGTTTGTAACACTTCCTACGTCCATCAGCGCGAACTATCACATGACCGCATGACCTGCCCGAAACCGGAAGTGACGTCATTTTGCGGAAATGTAGTTTTTTTACGATCGGGGCCTTATGAGCCTATACTTGTGTTTTAAAAAGTTATGTTTGAGTTTATGACTTTCTGTATCGTTTCTGGGATGCTTAGGACTCATATTGCACTGCTGGAAATAGTTTATTTTGATGCATATGCTGTTATTTTGCAAATTTGCACTATAATATTTATTTTCGTTTTTCCTGCAGTGTATAAAAATTGGTGTATTTCAAAAATAAAACTATGAAGACACTCAAAATAAATTTCCTGTGGTGGGAAACTAGTTTGTGCAACTTTTTTGTATTTACAGTTTTGAGGGATGAGCCTCTTAAATTTCTCTAACTAGAAATATATGTTAAAAAAACAAAAACGATTTTCAATTTTTTTGTAGTTTATTGCACTTTTTTGCAATTTATGTAATTACTATGCACCTAATGCGACATATTATTAAAATTTAGGCTGTAATGGTTGTATTGATGTATAGCAACTTGAAATGCTCCCAAAAATGGCTCCACAGCATGTAAAAATATAATATAAGCTATGGAGGACTTGGTTCTATGGTAGGTCTTAAAGGGTTAATAAGATACACATTCCATGGTGGTGTTGGCATTCCTAATCCCAGTCTATCTTTAACCTCTCAATCATTACTATCATTCAAGACAGAAGAGTTAGTGCTATTATTGTTTGGATTTCAAAGTCGTTGTTTCCTAAAAGAAACAAAATATAAATTAAATGATCAATTTTGAAAGTATTCCATTCATATATTTCTTTCTAAATGTATCTGTTCAGTCACTCATTTCATCTCCCATTTAATCTGATGACGAGATCTCAACAGTAAATTAATCAGAAAATTTACTTCAGCTTTCGTCACCTCTGGCCAACGCCAGCGGCATCACTGTACATGTTTGCATTACACTAATCATCTCAGAGGGAGAGCTTTTCAGTTTTAAACCAGATTTTCCTTTTTAAACCAGATTGTACAGTTCGCGATCTTTACATTTGGATTAGCTGTCTGGAAGCTGCTTAGGAACAAGTTCCAAATGGGGTTTTTCTATGTACTCTATGTGTGCACTGTATTCATTGATGCCTGTGCCACAGCAGCCTATGACTAAATACAGCTATATATATTTAATGCATTTGAACTAGCTGCGACCACTTGTGTGAATAATAACGGAAATAAGCACCGTTCTAGAAGTCTGATTGCCTCCTTTGCAAAG